AAGTATCTCGAAGTCATAAAATAATGAAAAACTATAAAATGAACCAAAATGTTCTTTTATTATTCAAGGATCAAAAATATATTTTTCATTGAATTGTAATGATCTCCAAAATGGCAATCACCGTATACGTAAAAAATAAACAAAATAAGTTTCCAAATTACCAATGGTTAAATTTAAGTTTGAGAAACTCATAATTTATATATAGAAATAGATAATATGAATTATGAATTAGTTTTTAATAGTTCATATTATAGGTATTTTCTTGTAAAATTGTGTTTCGATTATTATATTAATACTATTTTATAAATAAAATGAGATGTGAAATTCATGAATGCAGATATTTTTATAATTACTCTCTAAATTCATTGGGTAAAATACTAATGATTACTCATATGAAAAAAATAGTTTTAAGGTCCTAACATGGATAAAATAGGAAAAGAAAAATTTAAGTATACACTAGAAATAGACAAAAATAAAAAGTTATTAACATTTAACACTAGGAAAAAAAAAGTATAAACTAGAAATAGACAAAAATAAAAAGTTATTAACATTTAACACTAATTCCTTAGTTCTTACAAATAAAAAAAAAGGTATTTTAAAAATCGGATGGCGTGATAGGAAAATTTATATATAAAAAACAAAAAAAAACATAAGTGGACAAAAATAAAGCAAAAAAAACAGTTGTGGACCAAAATCAAAAGCCCGTAGTTTTGGAACATGTTTTTCAATTAAAAATACATAAAAAAACGTATTTAAAAATTACGGACTTTTGATTTTGGTCCACAACTTTTTTTTTTTTGTTTCATTTTTGTCCACTTCATTTTTTTTTATTTTTCTAGTAAAAAAATCTGGCGTGATAGTTGGAAGAAAATGGAGAGGAATAAAACAGTAGCTCAAAAATCTTTTTTATACCATTCAAAGTGCTGCCGATGACTGTTATTGACCCGCAAAACAAATCTTGCGAGTTTTTTCTTTTTCTTTTTTCTTTTGGTACACCAAATCGAAGAAGAAGACGAAAGGAGATAACCAGAGAAGAAAAAGATGAGAAAAATTGCAACTTTGAGCTATCTGCAGTTATTTTTGTGCCTTTTTTCTTCATTTTTAATCCAAGGTTTGCTTTTGATTTATGCCCTTGCAATCCGAATGAATATTTTGATTTGTCATAGGCTTTTACATGCTTTCATCGAATTAGAAACGGGATGGGAGGTGGGAGGGGGGAGGGGGGTGCAAATATTCCCAGATTTCGTGTGTTTTCCCCGTTGGTTGAGAAGATTGTTTGACTAATTCTTGGGTCGAATGTTAGGTCACTATTTGGACAACCAGTTGATCTCTTTATGTGATAACATGTGATAAGAGGGGTCAGATGCAATTTTTTGTTAAAAAAAAAAATTGAATAAAGATTCGATCTTTAATCATCTTGTTTGTTCAGTTGCTGTTGGGGTGTGGTCAGAGTGTGCTTGCTTGATAGATAATCTGCTGCTAAGCTTCTCTGATTTATGATGGGCAGAGCATTTTTTTTGCCCTGAGTTCTGTGTCGTGTTATTGCTTTTCGTAAGTGGTTGGGTTTTAAAAAACAGATTAAAGCCACCAAAAAAATCTAACCTTTGTTGCTATAGCTGTTTCGATGAGTTGAGTTATAGGTGCAATTGAGGAGCTCCTATGGTAAATTGGTACATGAAGGAGTGCTTTGGTTGATGGGAAAATTTCCAAATATTATCCAAACTTTGTTCTTGGGCGAGCTGAACAGCAATATTGGTTCACTTTCTCGAATCCTAGCCCATGTTTTTTTTAATATGCGAAATTGTTGTTCATACCATGTTATTTTTTTTATTTTTTTACCCTTGAGTCTGCTTATTTTGGATAACATATGATGAAATGTGATTAATCAGCAGTCAAAAATTGTACATGAAAGATATTATTTCCTAATTTTAGTATGTATGAGTGGTTGATGATTTTAACTATCGTCTGTGTAGGTTTTGCGGATGATAACAACTCTGCAAGCAAGACGAAGTCCTCTGCAAATTCTACTCCATTGACAATACTCTTTGTGTTCTTGGGGGTTTTATCTGTTGTTGGATTTTCAATTTTCCTATATAAACTGTGGCAAAGGAAGAAGAGAGAGGCACAACACGCACGCCTTTTGAAGCTCTTTGAACAAGATGATGAGCTTGAGGTTGAGCTTGGCATTCACGATTGAGATCGAATGAAAATTTATTGCTCGAGTTCGAACGAGACCTTTTGTGTTGTCAATGACATTGTTAGTTTTTTGATATGATGTGTATGAACTAATTTGTTAGGTACCTTTGGCCTTGTGCTGTGATTGTGATATTTGAACTTTGAAGGTGAATTTAAATAGCACTATACATTTTGTTCCAACTGTTTTTGGTGAAAAAATGTATGCTTCTCTTTATTTTTACTTGTTTGGACGTAAAAGTTCCAATGAAAACTCCAATGACAAGTTTGTATGTTTTGCCCTTAAAATGCCTATATTTGCAGTTTGAGAAACAATAAAAATTATTTTTGGGGATATGGTTTGGTTTCCCCTAAAGATGGATTGGGTCTTTTGGGGGTCATTTGTTGGGCTGTCCATTAAGTTTATATGTCATCAACAATTATTGGGCCATGCCACTATATGATTCTTTTATTAGACCATGGGCAAGTTTAAAAAGACATTTTAGCCCTCAAACATCTTGCTTTCATGACTTAGGATGAACTATCCATGTTACTCAATTATTGTAGGTGTCAATTGTATTTAGTTTCATTTACTATTGTACTATAGGCTTTAATCCACATAACACCCATTGTTGTTTGATTTAAAAAGGGAATTGTTAAATTAGCAATGGTCCAATCAGTCAAATGTTTGTTTCAGACTTTGAGGTCACGTGATAAAGTTAAAACTGAAAGTGACTTCGAAAATAACGTGATTATTGATGAATAATGGAGAGGACCACAAGTCATTTTTCACATTCTATTCAAGGAAATAGTAAATAGCATTGCATTCATGAAGATGTTCTTAAGTTGGAATAAGAGCTTTTATTTATTTACTCATATTAGGTTTTCAAGGNNNCAATACGATTTTTTTTTTTTATTTTCATCAAACGTCCAGAAAAGAAGTGATATATATGGACTATTAACATATATATGTGTCATCCAAAATGTTAAGCACTTAAGTACCAAAAAATATAAGTTCTTAATTTGTAATGAAAAAAATAGTGCAATTATAGAGATGATGAGTACATGTTGACTAGTCATTATGTTTGTCCCCATTTGTTAACAATTAAATAATGTTAATTTCGGTTTTAAGAATGCAGTTTAATTTGTCCCAGGATTAATGTATTTTCATACTAAACTAGTTGTTCTCCTTGGCAATTATATCTTATTTAAGGTGATGGGGGTAAAGAGAAACTTTTAGATGTGTGCAATTCTTTGAAAATTTCTCATTTTTAAACTTTTATAACTTTAAGGTTTGTTCAGTCTATATTATTTATTATATAACTTATTTGTTCAGTCTAATTATTAAAAAATATATGTGATTAATTGGTTATAAACAATCAAACGTATGAATAAAATATTTCAAGCTAGGCCCCATGGTAATCCTGGAGCTTCTTTTTTCCGTTTTTATAAAAAAGGTGTTTTGGTCATCTTCAAAATTTGATGGTACTTTATTGCATTCAACTTGCACGAGTAGTGTGTTCTTTTGTTGAACGAATCATGAACTTCATTGCAATATCACAAGCTAGAATTTTGGTTGATCAAGATTTTAAGGGATAGATTAATAAAATAAAAATAAAACTAATTAAATTAAGTAAATCAATATAACATTTTGAGGAATAAATATAGTTAATTGAACCATAATTGTATCTTTAAAAATATATTTTTGATTACAATCAGACAAGATAAAAAAAAAAAATGTTGCTATTAATATTTTAATCATATATACCAAGAATAAATGTGGGCCATCTCAATATTCTAGTTGTTCTACTTGAAAAAATGCCAAACTTAATTCAAGAATTTTACAAAATTCAAAAGTTATGAAGGGTCATGGTACAACCTTTGGATTTTATGTCAAAATGTTATTTAGCTTTCAATTTCCTCTTAATTAATTAGTTCAAGATATTTTGTCTGTGAATTATGAATGATTTACAAATTCATTTAACCAAACTACACATACACATAGCTTGCTTGTTACTCTTTTCATTATAATAATATCTAAACCAACTATTTAGATTTTATCAATGCATAATTCGGTAAGCCAATTGGTATGGGTAAACCAATGTGACAAAGTAGATTAATTTATTGCTTTTGGACGTTAAACTAATTAAGATAACTAAACTTTAAAGTCTATAGATAAATCCCTTACATTCAGATTCAAAGATAAAAAAAATTGGAATTGTGTTAAAAGATTTCACGTTACTTAAAAGATTATAAATTGTACATTTTATTTCTCGTTCCATTTCTAGGTAAGCAGGATTAGGGCTTAAAAATTGGCAATTGCAATTAATGTGACATATTCAAGTAACTATTTGAGTATAACTCCTCAGTCATTCAAGATAATCAAGCAAATAAAGCAAGATAATGAAGATATCAAATGTATAGTGTTGAAAGCATCTCAAATTGGTAAAAGTATATACAGTTAGTCATGTCACATACATCTGGAAATTCGTTACTTAGGTAAACATGTCACTATTTTTATACAATAATTATTATTTTATAAAGGATGTTTTCTTTTTTAATTACATAAAAACAACTTGTCCCATTCATGTGATTCTAACGTGATTAACTTGAATTGGCAGTATAGCTTTGAGCTCAAAGGTCACTCGAACACACAGAATAATAATCTTAACTCGAAGTTTCTCGTTGTGATTATAAAATATGCATTAATATTTACATTTGGATATCAAGTGTTGTTCAAATTAAAAATTCAAATCAAGAGTTTAATCATGTTTTGGTTTGGTTAAGATTTTTTATTAATGCCAAGT